TTGATGATAAGATTACTGGTAATTTCAATAATAGATTAACCATTTCACTTAGATTGCTTATTAAATTCATTCGATTGCTGCCAATACTGCTAAAATGTTTAGTCTTTAACCCTGTAAAGTTAGTATTTGTCTTTGTTTTGTCTTTTGGTTGAAGTAATGCAATTCATTTAAGTTTCAATTTTAGACAATGACTATTTGAAACCAAGGATCGCAACGCGAAATGAAAATCGCAACGACAAAATCGCAACGCGATTTTAGTGTTGCATTGCGATTTTGTCGTTGCGATTTTCATTTCGCGCTGCGATAGTCAAATTCACGTTGCGATAGTCAAATTCACGTTGCGATAGTCAAATTCGCGTTGCGATAGTCATTTTTGTGTTGCGATTTTCATTTTCGTGTTACGATTTTAAGTTTCAGAAACTATTATTCTTCTGCAAATTGAAACTTGAATGAATTGCATTACTTCAACCGAAAAACAAAGACAAATACGAAATTCACAGTGTAGTTTTTGGTATATCTAACTTGGTATGTTTATTGTTTTTGTAGAACTTTTTTTCGGCTCAATTGACCTTAAGGAATAAAATAAGCCTAGTCACTACAATTGCGTCGAAGCTTTCACCTGTACAAAGAAAATTGTTTAAGGATACTTGCTTCGGGCCATGGCTGAAAGTACAACATTCGGGTGGAGATGCTATGTTGACCCATTTGTGGCTTCAGACCATGACTAGCGATCTACCCGAGAGTATAAAACGTGGTAATGAAGAGATATGATTTCATTTTCCACCGGCGTATACGTGTTTTGGGCGGGAGGAGTTTTGCTTATTCACTGGTCTACGCTTCGGACACGATGATGTAGGTCGATACACTAGTCATATTACTCGCCCATCATGGTTATCCCAGGTTTTTCCTGAGCTGTCAATGGAGAAGCCGAATTTACACGTCGACGACTTGACGAGATTATTGAATAAGAAAGATGGTTTTACTCAGATGGATGACGTCGATGTTGTCCGAGTATGCCTTTTAGTACTTTTGCATGCCGACTTTTTAGGCAGAGAGGTCAGACAACCTATTCCTAAGGACCTAATATTATTGGTAGAGGACCTAAATACATGGAACCTATTTTCGTGGGGTTCGTATCTATGGAAAGCTACCTGGAATAAGTTTTCGTCTGCCTTTGATGACCGCAAAAGTTTACGTGGCGATGGTTCCAAATACACTTTGTCAGGCTTTACTTGGGCCTTTAAGGTAAGAATTTCTATATAATGTTTCCAAAATTATAATTAATTATTTAACAATTACTAATGTTTGTGTATTATATTGTTTGTAGATTTGGATATTTGAGGCTTTTCCCGACATGCAGACATATACATTAAAAACTTCAAATGATATTCCTAGAGCTATTTCCTGGAAGAGGAAACGGCGGCTGTTGATTTGGGAAGAGTTACTACGGTATACGACAATAAATGATGTAAGTTAACACAAATACTACCATATATAAACTATTTATTACTAGTATACGTTTAACTTTGTTTGAGCAATTATATTGTTAGGAGGCCAACACTCCATTACAGAGGCTGACACCCATGGAGGCTGAGCTTGCCACTGATTGGTGGCAAGCTAGTAAGCGTTTTTTTGATGGCACGGATGATGAGCAGCCTCCACTTCGAGAGCCATCACCTGACCCAGAGCCATCACCTGATCGACCACACTATACACCTCTACAACGAGAGCCATCACCTATTCCGTCACATCATCGAGCCTCTTCTCCACCATCAACTCATGATAGGCGACCGACAAAGATGACATGATATTTATCTCCCTGTTCTCTACCTCCACGGGATGAGTTAGGGGAGTTACGTGATGAGGTCAATGCCTTGCGTGAGGAGGTCGATACTTTACGCGATGACAATGGTGCATGGCGTAATGAGGTATCTACTTTACGTGGTGAGGTAGCGGCTCTACGTGAGATGGTAGAATCGTTACAGAATGAGGTTCATACTCTACGCAACGAGGTAAGTTTAAGATTTTTCATATTTAACTTGATTTACTCATAATTTCACTCAGATTAACCATTTCACTTAGATTGCTTAGTAAATTCATTCGGTTGCTGCCAATACTGCTAAACAGTTCTAAAATAACCCTGTGAAGTTAGTATTTGTCTTTGTTTTGTCTTTTGGTTGAAGTAATGCAATCTATTCAAGTTTCAATTTGCATAAGAAGAATAGTCGCAACACGAAACTTAAAATCGCAACGCGAAAATGACTATCGCAACGCGGAAATGACTATCGCAATGCGAATTTGACTATCGCAACGAGATAATCGCAATGCGAAATAAAAATCGCAACGTGAAAATCGTAATGCGAAAATGAAAATCGCAACGCGGATTTAGTTTCGCGTTGCGATTTTTATTTCGCATTGCGATTATCTTGTTGCGATAGTCAAATTCGCGTTGCGATAGTCATTTCCGCGTTGCGATAGTCAAATTCGCGTTGCGATTTTAAGTTTCGTGTTGCGATTTTAAGTTTTAGAAACTATTATTCTTCTAAAAATTGAAACTTGAATGGATTGCATTACTTCAACCAAAAGACAAAGACAAATACTAACTTCACAGTGTTGCAAATTTAAGTTTCAAGAATAAACTACTACTCTTTATGTTGTCCTTGAACATGCACTAAACCTATATGTTGTTCTTTTAAATGTTTATATAAGTGCTTACTTCTGGAATGTTATCTGATGCATTTTGTGAACTATGATAGAATAATGACTTGGGTGAATACCGTGGAAGTTTGAAACATATTTGTCTTTGTTTTCACTGTTTAATATCATGTCTGTTTATTTACTGATTTATGTATTAATTTATTTTTAGCGGCCCGATAAGGTGGATGCTTTACGTCGGGTTTTTCTTGCACGAAGGGTTCATGCATCAGACGGCGTACACGTGTCATTACGTCTCCGTTCACCCCAATAGTGCGAAGACTCCGTAAGAAGAAGCTCGACTCACCTGTAATCGTTCAAGAGGCCTCTCCTATCGTTCAAGAGGCCCCTATCATCCCTCAAGAGTCCCCTCCCATCGTTCAAGAGGTCACTGTCATCGTTGAAGAGGTTCCTCCCACCATTCAAGAGCCCGATTCACACGGCGTAATATGTCGAATTATTGAGAAACCCTCTCACATGCCGGACATGATGGATGAATGTTGGCTTTCGTATGAGTTATCGGCCAGTACCATTCTGGCAGATGAAGTGGATAGGAGAAAACTACCGGAAATAATTCTGGATAATAACCTTTGGGCTAAGACCGCAGTTGATTTTTATCTACATGAGCGGAGCCAGGGGTGTTACGCTGACATATACACACTCAACGATGACATACATTTGTTGATTGATCGGTCTTGGTGGGGTGTGTTATTAGGGGTTGAAGACAAAGACTATTTCGATGGGGAGGGTAAGTCTTATATTTTTCTTATATTTCATTTTGATTATTTTTTTAAAAATTTATGTAATTCACTAATATATGTCTTTTTTGTAAAACAATATATTGATGCATGGGTGTCACGTCTTCTAATGATAAGGAAAATGAGGAAAAATAAAAAAATACGCGATATACAATTATGCCGACGTCTTTTCACGTAGTTCACTTGAAGAATCAACGACGTGAATCATATGTGTTGGCTAATGGACAAACTAAACTTTATCCTGCATGGTGGGAGGTCGATAAGGTTAGTATTTATTTTTTAAATATTTTAAAGGTGTTCATAAATAAGTGCGCAATTGAATTATTACTTATGATTACATGTGTTTATCCCTGTTTTGGAACGTACTCATTGGCTTCTCGTCGAGCTTCAGCTCCCATCCCTGAAGATAATAGTATATGATATCATGATAAATTACATATCATTGTCTGATTTGAGAGATATTATTAAGGGATGGAGCTCTCATTTGGCTAAATTCTTGGATGCGATTAATTATTGGACTTATTCTGGAAACAAGAAGCCAAAGAAGTTCAATGTTACAGTTATCAGAGACGAGACCGTGCCACAACAAACGCAGGAAGCCAGAGGAGATTGTGGTCCTCTCGTATGCATGTGCTTGGAGCGTTTGACGACAGGAAGTACACAGTTTCTACCTCTCACCGATAGAGATAGAGGTGCAATAGGCTTGTGGTTTCGGCATTTTATGGCTAGAGCGATATATGCGAGACGCTGCCTACTTGCATCCGCGTTATGAAAGTGTCCATAAACAATTTGTAAGTCAAATGCAAGTGTTGTTAAGTACCTAGAATTCAATAATAATTTGCTGTTTGTTGGTTTTAGATGTGTAGAAAGTGTTGTTTGAGCAAATGTTTGGTTTCTGCAGGTTAATCCTGAAGTGAGCTGCGTGAAATTGATGTATGGGTGCTTAAACAACTGTCTGGGGTACACTTTTTTTATTGTTTAATTGATTCTTAAAAGTCTGATTTGTTTAATTGATGAGGAAAATAAGAATTATTAGCATTTTTTGCTTGTTTAATTGATTTGTAAAAGTTGATTTCCTTAATTGATGTGTAAATAATTCTTATTTGTGCTTGTTTAATTGATTGAAATGTAAAAGTTGATTTGTTGATTTCGATCTGCATCATATTGAAGGCAAAAGACCTGTTGAAGGTACACTTTCGCAACGCTAAACTCAAAATCGCAATGCGAAAGTCAAAATCGCAATGCGAAAGCCAAAATCACAACGTGAAAGTCAATTCGCGTTGCGATAGTCTAATATGCTTTGCAATTTTCTCGTTGCGATAGTCAACTTCCCATTGCGATAATCAAATTCACGTTGCGATAGTCAAATTCACGTTGCGATAGTCAAATTCGCGTTGCGATAGTCAAATTCGCGTTGCGATAGTCAAATTCGCGTTGCGATATTCAAATGAATGTGTAATAAGTGATAACAACTGAACAGATCATAGCAATGTTCAAAATCAAGTTACTAATGCATGCCTAACTGAAAATGTTAAAAGTTTACACATAAAATACACATAATAGTCAAATTCGCGTTGCGATATTCAAATGAATATGTAATAAGTGATAACAACTGAACAGATCATAGCAATGTTCAAACTCAAGTTACTAATACATGCCTAACTGAAAATGTTAAAAGTTTACACATAAAATACACATAATACAACGTTTGCATTTAAAAATCACCTAAGTTAATAGTCCCAAAAGGTGAAGCCGGTTGTGATTGGGATTTTGATTTTGATTGCAATTTTGATTGCCTTTTTCTTGACACCATATGAGCTTTGGATTTTGATGAGGATCCATATTTTGGTAGAGGAAAAGATGATTGTGATGGCACTGGTGATCCACATGTCAACCTTGTATGACCACTTTCCTTGCACCGACTACATGTCGATCTCTTCTTCTCTTCACCCTTAGACTAAGGGTGTGCAAAAAACCCCGATCCGACCGATCTAATCCGCTGATCCGTTGATCCGATCCAAAAATTCAGATATCCGATCCGTTTTTCAATTTTCGGATAGTTCGGATCGGGTATCCGAACTTTTTTTCGGATTTTCGGATCGGATACGGATCGATCAAAATCCAATTTCGGATTATCCGAAAATCCGAAAAAATTTGGGCTATATTATTAGCCCAGAGTTGTTTGGGCTATACTATTAGCTCGAAAAATCATGTTTTGAAGAGAGGGCTTTAGCTAATTCAGGTATATCAATGGTTTCAAGTGCTTTTCCACAATTCATCCCCAGAAGCAGCTGACTTCCTGAAAATAAATCATATATTCAACACAATATTCCAAATATTGTTACTTTCATCTACAATAAGATGACTAGATTTTGATTTTTAATAAGGTCAGTAGACAAAATGTTTTCAAATTTTAAGGACCAATAAAAAGATCATTTGGGTGGCAAAACCATAGTAACAAAATAGTCAGACTTGACAATTCGAATTGTGATTTCCTGATGCTAAACATATATTTGATCCAATCAAACCCACAATTCATCGTCTTTCATAATTAAATCTACTTTTCAATAACAACATTCTGGAAAAAAAACCAAATTAGGTCAAGAAAGTCAAGACAAATAAATTAAAACCCATAAACGAAGAGAAGAAAAGATTGAGAAAGAAAGAAACCTGGTAGAGTTGAGGGTTGAGATTTTCGCTCAAGAGGTGTTGAAGTGAATTATACCCACAAATGGATCCTCTTTGCTTCTCTTCTGCGCTTCCATTTTCTTCACTTTTCTCTATCTCTAATTGATTATTCAAACACAAATCAGGGGAATAAGGTTCAACCATTAAGTATTATTATATCAGCTAGGTTCACTGAGTGATTAAAGTCCTTGGTTTACTACGAATCATCAATTCCTGGTCGTTTGATCAAATGGAATCTGATGGTAATAAAACTATTTTTTTGCAAAAAAAAAATCGGATTTGGATCCAGATATTTGGATATCCGAATTTTCGGATATCCGATTTTTTCGGTTCGGATACGGATCATTACTTTAGGTATCTGAAATTTTCGGATATCAGAAAATTTAGATCGGATAATATCTGATATCCGATAATGCACACCCCTACCTTAGACGGTATACGATCGTGACTTTTTGGTCGGCCAGGTAGCCTTTTGTCCATGGCTGGTGGCAAAACTGTTTGTAAGTCATTTGGTATGTCCCACTCAGAAGGATGTGGAATAGGGTAGATAATCTCGGTATAAGTCTTTCGATATACTTCTGTAGTGTAGCAATCTATAGCGTATGCGCTTGAATCATCTTGGTTTAGATGAAGAGCAACTTTTATAACATGGCCACACAGATAACCAGATGTTTGCCATTTCATACAACTACATGTCTTTGCATTTAGATCGACAAGCCCATTTAAGTTATTATCCAGTACTTCAAACAAAGTGTTTGAACATGGTTTAACTCTCCATGACGTTGACTTCATAACACGTTTCATTATCTTTTTTTCAGTCCATGGTGTAACACGATGTTCCAATGTTCCTGTAAATTTAAATAAATAATACTTAGTAAAATATATGATAAGTTACGAATTTAAAGAAATAATACATGCATGGTTTCTTTTCTTGTAGTACCACTGTTTAATAAATGCTCGAAAAAACTCCATTAACATAGTAATGGGTAATTTCCGGGAATGACGAGCGTTGATTGATTCTGCACTATTAGACGTCATGAAACCATATCTTGCTCCAAGTTGATGTACTCTTGACCATCTTTCAAACCCGACATCTTCTAGTGTTTGAGCACACTAAGGCAAAACACGTCTTAAACAATTTATATGCTTATTAAAATCCACTTCCCGATAAGCTTTTACAGCCTTCCAATATGTCCATTTGTGATTTTTTATACCAACATACCTTGATTTTAGATTTCTATACAAATGAACACCACAAAGTCCATGAAAAGCATCTGGAAAACATCTTCTAACAGCGTTGTCAATTGAGTTTGCCCTATCAGATATGATTGTTAGATTGCTAATAGGACCTATGTAATCCCTAAGATGCCCCATAAACCATGTCCATGAATCAGAGGTTTCAGATTTGCCAACCCCATAAGTTATTGGCAGTATCCCATTGTTAGCATCCATGGCTACTGCTAATAAGTTTACTCAAAGCTATCGACCTTTTAAATGTGCTCCGTCAACTATAATAACTGGGCTCATGCAAGTAATAAACGAACGAATCTACAAAATCATATACACAAGAAATATAATCATTTAAATGTGAAATGCATGTAACTAACAAAAATGAGTCAACAAAATTTTATTGATTTACTAACCGCAACACCAATGGCGATAAACAGCAAATCAAAGCGTCCATCTCTATATGTTTTGATATGAGTTACCGACCCAGGATTTTTCAGCTTTAAATTGTGACAATAAGCCGGCAGTTGGGCAAACGATGCTTCTGGCGACCCCCTCAACAATTCCAATGCATAATATTTGGCTCTCCAAGCTTGAGAATATGAGATACTAATCTTGAACCGAGCATTCATGTCAGTCATAATTTCATGTCCCCGATATACCCTGTCATTCAAAAACATTAACTCAGCCAGAAAACCACCTAACACCTTTTTATTTGCCTATCTATGGTGAGGAAAAACTTGGGTTCTTGAACATGTATGTTTATCAATAAAAGTCCTAACTTGAAACATTTCACAATCTTTTATCCTCTTTGCAATCATACGCCACGTACAGTTTTTGTCAATCATACACCTTGTTTCGAAACGATCTTTGCTTGATTTGTTAACTTTTAATTGATAGCCATCTTCCACACATTTCATATACAAAGCTATCTTCAAGTCTTCCTTTGTATCAAAACAATCATCTTTCTTGATACGAATAATTTTTATGTAACAATCAACTGCTATCTTTACCAACTCTTCTTCCGGTATCTGAAGTAATTCTGGCATATTCCAGTTATACTCCCGTGGTATTTTTTTTGGGGACTTTTCTTCGGGGATTTCTTCTTCTTCTTTTTCTTCTTCAAGGTTATATGAATTACAAAATGGATGTTCAACATGTTCATTCACAGTTGTAACTTCCTCCTCATTATCATCAACAACATCTTCCTCGGCAGCAGCTGTTTCATCATCAAAATTCGGGTATTGACCAATATCAAAATCATTACACGCAGGGTCTATTTCTTCTTCTGAAACATCATCAAAATCCGATTATTGACCAAGATCAAAGTCCGGGTATTGACCAAGATCAAATTTCGAATACTGACTAGTACTCACAATTTTTTCTGTTGGCTCATCATCGTCTAACTGGTCAATACGAAAACCGGAATTTTGAGCTGAAAGTTGATTGGGATTTGGATTAGGGAAAGGTTGTGGGTTTTGAGATTGTGTTTGGTATTGGAAATGTGGTGAAACAAAATTTGCTTGGTGATGAAATTGTGGTGGAACCATTAAATTTTGAGCACCATAAACTGGGGTTGAAAAACTTAGTTGATTACTACCCGCTACTGACCCAACTTCACTACTTCTAGGTTCAACAACATACAATGTAACATCATCTTGCGAAACACTAATGTAAGCAATGAATCGTTTAACATCTTCATCGTCGGTTAATAAATAAACTTTACCTTTTCTCTGATAAGATAGCCTAAATCCACTTAAGGGCTCTAAATTCAATTTATTTACAACACGTAACATTAGAGTTTCATAAGTTAACTTTTTTAATGACAGTTTTAGTTGAAGATTCATGGGTAAAGGCATATATTGTAAAACACCATGAACATTCTCCCATGACCCTCCAAAACACAAATCTATCCAAACATGATCAACATTAGATGATTTCATTATTGTAGATTAATTTACTAAACAAACGAGCTGCGAAACTAAAACTTGTTGCTTGATGGGGAAGGATGTCGTTGGATATAGGAACGGATGTCGCCGGAGAGAGTGATAGATGAAGATGGAATGAGTTACGATTTAGGGATTTAGGTTATGAGTTGTTGCTGCTGCGTAGTTATATACCCAAAACATTTGTGTTGCGAAACTAAAACCTGTTGCGAATTTGAAATTCAGCGTTGCGACAGTCAGAATCGCGTTGCGATAGTCAGAATCAAGTTGCGATTATGTATTATCGAGTTGTGATTATGTATTATCGCGTTGCGATAGTCAGAATCGCGTTGCGATTTACATATTCGCATTGCGATAGTCAAAATCGCGTTGCGAATCTGGAAACTGATTTGCGATACTGGAGATCGCGTTGCGATTTAGAGATTGCATTGCGATTTTGTTGGTCATTTTGGCAAATCGAAAAAAAGTTGGTCAAAATCGTATATTATAAGGAATTTTCGGTCACTGATGTTATTTTCTCTAATAATAATAATAACAACAATTTTTCTTAGCCTGATGACGTAGTATTTAATTTCATAATAATGATTATAAAAAATAAAAATAAAATGAACTTTCATATTTAAAAAATTTTAACACACCAACGACCATTTGGTTTAAGGGGATGAGATACTAGATCCCTTAAGTAAGGTCAGATATTCGAATTCTAGCAATTGTGAATGGAGTAAATTGGGTTACAAGGGTCATCATTGCTTCTGCAGTATCTGATCCGGATTAGTCGATTAATAGAACTGATACTGATGTTTATACTAAAAAAATATTTAATACAAAAACAAGTGTCTAAATTATACCTAGAAATACAATTGGTACCTAAAAAATTATTCGCTAAAAATAGGTGTCTGTTATTATATTTTTTGATTTTTAATAATAAAAATGATATTTTTATTAAAAAAAAGCTTAATGTATTTATTCAAAATCTCAAAATAAAAAAACTCATTTTTATTGAAATTACAAAAAAAACTCTTAAAAACTAAAAATTCTCATTTCAACTCCATTACTGACTGCCGTCGGTTATCTCCGACCACCATCGTCATCATCGAACAATCACCCACTCGTCGTCGTCCATCCAATGATCAATCATCACCCTTACCGTCAACCAATCTCCTAGGTTTCTAAAATTTCAAATATCCAAATCCCTAATCATATACCCTAATTCCCAAATTATAAAATACATAATTTATAAATCAATGGTGAGTGATAATGGCTTACTTGAGGTCGATAACAGTGGCGGTGATAGGAGTGGTCAGCGATTGTGGGAGGTAGAAGGGGGAAAGAGGAAGAGAGAAAGGGATGGGTGGAAACGGTTGAGATTTTTTTGAAAAAAGGTTTTATTTTAAATAATATATTTATTTTAAAATTTATATGCGTGACACGTATCAGATAATAGTCAAATTTAACAGTCGTTACGGTCATGACACCTAAAAGTGTAATATTAAAAATGATAGGAACTTATTTTTAACGAAAATTCTTTAGGCACCAAATCTTATTTCGAGGTATAGTTTAGAGAATTTTTTTATATTAAGTCTTTAAGAATTTCAAATTTAGAAAGATTTAATAAAAAAATAAGTGGCTAAACTATACATCGAAATATAATTTGGTGTCTAAAGATTTTTTCGTTAAAAATAAGTGTCTAATGTTTTCTCCATTATATTTTTAGGTGTCTATGATTATACTTTTTATTAAAAAAAACTTCCTCTCCCCTGCAAACGGTCAAAGGCCGACTATCACGACCGACCAAACTGAATGATCGACCACCACATCCAATTAAATGACCGATCATCACGATCGATCTAAGAATTTTTTAGGGATTCCAAATCCTAAAACAAAATATTTCATTTATACTATTTGTAGGTGTTCGATCGGTTGCGAAAGAATGAGAGTTTTGGTCGTAGGTGGTTGGTCGGTCACACACCATTGGGCACTTTGCCAATTGACACATTGGTTGCGGCCAACGATGACAAAGGGATTAAAATTCAGGTTTTAAAAGTTTTAGGTTTTTAAGATTTGAAGTTTTTTTAGTTTTTTTTTAATATTTTTTATTCTTTACTTTGAATAAAATTTTCAAAGTTATTAAAACGTGATATGTGTCGCTTAACATAAATTTTTAACGACAGTTAATGCCCGAATACCTAAAGGTGTAATGTTAGAAATATTTTAAACTTATTTTTAACCAAAAATTCTTTATGCACGTGCTTTTAAAATTTGAAACTCTAAATATAAGTCTTGATAAAATATTTAGTAAATGATTAATATATAATAATAATTAAAAATGTTGTGTCAACATATTCATAATATTATGTAAACAATGAATAGCATATTAGAGGCAATGAGATGGAATTGATGTACCTGGTAAGAAGCGGAGGAGATACGTGTGAATTTTTGAAATTTTATATTAAAATTTTAGGTGATTTAAAATTAGATTATTAATAAAAAATAATTAAACTATACAATAAATTACGATTTTTAAGAATATAATCGTTTTCAACACTCACTCAATAATCATCGAAGGAGCAGCAAATCAAAGCCTCCTTTTGCTGCCAGTTTACAGAAATTGCCTGCAAAGCAAAACTCTATACTTTGTTTGCCAAGTTAACTAAAAAGGGTAGAGAATAAACTCTACTAATAATTTGTTCTTATGAACTCAGACCCTCGAAATTGTTGGGAATGGAATAATATATTCAATTTTATTTTATTTTTAATTGAGGAAGGCAGAGATCAAACCCTAGACAAAGAAGATGCTAATGCCACTTAGTATTAAAATGGTGGAACCGGCTGCTTTTTTACACCATTTTCCCTTCGTTATCAATTTTTTATCATTCCGATATGATTATAAGGTAGTATTTGTGTCCGATTTCAAAAGTTGACTAATCTCACACAGACATATAGACAAAGCTGCTAGAACTCGGGTCACATAAGATTTCCTTTACCTCTAAGAAGGCTCCTTGGGTTCTGAACATCTATTTTTTCAGATCTAAAAGTCCCTTCTTTTACAATCATTTGATAAATGATAATGGTCGTCTTAAAATGATTATCCAATGTCGAAAGGAAGGTTATGTAGGTATGAATAAAGAGAAAGATTAGAAAAGGAAAGAGGTAACTTGGCGCTTTTAAGATCACTACTACACTAATTCAAATAAGCTGGAGTTGTGCAAGAACTATGTACCCTCTTCACTCTTCGGAAGAAGATGCAACGGCCTTTCCTTTACAGCCTGATGAAGCTACGAGACCGACGTCCGAGCTTTCCTCAGTTTTTGGCTTTTGCATCTGTAGTATTTGGAGCTGATGTTGCAGCACCTATTCAGGAAGAAGAAAAAAAATGTTGAACAACAAAAGGCGATAAATTCGAATAGTGCAAGTCGATTCAGAATTTTTAGTTTTAATGTTAAAGTAGTTTGACTAGAAAAGAAGACGCTTAATGCAACGGAAAGAAACAATTGAAAAAATGGAACCTCTCAATCCTACTAAAACTAGGCGGTGGTTATTCACAAACTAGACATGGATATATCAAAATGTCATGTTGAGTTGCATTCCATGTAAGCCATGCACTCCGAGTCTCTCACCTTTATCCCAAAATTTTATGGACATACATGGTTTACTGAAGTCCCGAGCTAGAAAAATACGTGTATATTCGTTGGCAGGGCACAAGAAATAAGACGATGTTTTCTAAAATGGTTACACACACAATTTTATAGAGAAAGCAAGAATAGTACTAGTATATTACAAAAATAATACCTCAATCTGCTGTTGGATAATCTTCTTCTGAGCCACCAACTGGGAATCTGAAATATTTTGATTACTCCCCGACTCTTCTCCTGAGTTTCCACTGGCACCAGGTAACTGGATAGGAAAAAAACCACAGTGCGGGAACTGCGGAAAGGGTAAGTTTGCCTGTCCACCAGGAATGGCAAACTGTTGTTGTCCAATGGATGTGCTTTCCCCACTAGATTCTGACTTCATGGAATCAGCCAATGGAGAAGAAGCCCAGGGAAGTACAGCGTTCCCTGGAGACCTGTATGTACCATGCACAAAATTGGAACACATATCACCAGTTGGTATTAGAAAACCAGTGCAGTTGCACTTAAAGCCAGACAATGTAAACAAATGTGCATCAATATAAGAATTAGATAGCATGGCAGATTTTGGAAACAAATGGAAAAAGAAAAGAAAGCAGAGCAGATGAGGGTGTACCGACCTTGAAGGTCTAGAGAGGCCCATAAACCAATGAACCACTTTAAAGCTTCTAAAACATAGCACTCAAATTCAAAATGTTCTGTAATCTGCTGCATGTGTTTAATGTGCTCCCTTTCTCTTGGCAATAGACAATTCACTTCTCAACTCATGTAAAAGGTCTCAATGCAAATGATTACCCTCTTTTATTTATATTTATGTAACTACAGGAGAAAAGTGTTGCCACTTCAATAATGATCACACACACACCTCTTCTCTGGTACTCGGTTTTAAAGAAATTCTTTGAAATTGCAATAATTGATAATTAACGCAAAGTAATTGGCACATGATAAAAAATCACATGGAAAAAGAGGAGAGACTATAAAGCTCGCAAATTAAGGAAACTGCAAATGCCATTGACAGATATGAAAAAGTACAAGCATAAAACTACTTACCAAACCATAGTGTTTGCACAGGGATAAACATAGGATTTTTCATATATTGACGCAGCAGCAGCAGCAGCCTGAAGTCTGGCCTGATGGCGGGTCAAATTATCAGTGGCCGCGTCAACACCAGTACTTTGTGTAGCAGAACTTGTGCTGGACCCTGTTCCACTTTAAACAATTAGCCCCCTTTTCAGACCATGAAGTCAGTTTCATTAGCTGCAAAAATGTTAGAGAAGAAATACCACAACCAAAGTAATACTTAATCTCCACATCCAAAATTCTTTGCAAGCCAAAATCACCTTACAAGCTTTTATGTGATATAAATCGTATATGTGGCATGTAGTAACTGGGATAGGGAACAGGTTATCCCGAAAAAGTTTGGGATAAAACAGAGAAACGTATTCAAGATAGGACTGGGGCGGGAAAGCCTTCATTTTACTCAAGTAATACAACACACTAAGAGTGAATGGGTAACACCTGTGCACATTCTGCATTTTCACACATTATTTCAGGAGGAACATACCTAAGCTAGCTTAGATGCAGTTCAACAAAGCATAAGTCATAGAAACTAAAATAACTGAATTTCAAACTAATAAGAGATGAAAATTTTTGAAGGCCTCAAAGTTAGCTTTATCGACACCTAGAAGAAACAAACTTTCAGAAAGTAGGGCAATTTATTCATGCATGATATTAATCCTCAAAACCAAATAGCAGAACCATTGGCATACACAAGTATAAATTTGTCAAGAACATAACAATGCTCAAAGAAAGAGTTCATCTTATCATAGATGATGTTAGTCTTTTACAATGAGATTACCTTGTTGACGAGCATCTGACCGAGCTCCATGTTGTCCTTCAGATGAACTTGTTCCGTTTTCGGACGGTACAACCAGTGCTCTGCAGGTAGGACAGGTCTGCTGCCTCTCCAGCCATGATCGAAGGCAGTGTACATGGAAAAGATGCCCACAGATTAACTTCTTTGCTGAGGTCATCTCTTCACGACATATAATACAGGTTGCATCACTTCTGTTCATACAAATCAGTAAGCACATGAATTGAAAATCACATTGCAACTGAAAGATTCTATTTTTAAGAAATCATGAAACAAACTGACTCACGCAGTGAGTTCTTCAGGTGTTGCATCTGGGAATCTATCATTCATGTTTGAGGTGATCTTTCTATAGCGCAAGTAATCACCAACCCGAATTTTAAAATTTCTGAATGTCTCATAAAGCTCCCGTATTAAGTGCAGAGGTACACCATAATTCCTGCAGAAATCAATCAATATTAACAGCCATACTATGAATTAATCTATGAGAAATAATTAAAGAGATCTGATACTTTGGTGAAGACAAAAGGATCCCTCTTTTAAGTTTTGTCCCTCTTTTTTATTACATTTATCCTTCTATGCCCATTCTCAATACCAGTTCAGTCTTGGTTCTCACGACAACCACATTAGACATGGTAGGATCAGAAACTGTTTTTTGTGTCATGACAGCCAAATGTAATTGAAGCCAAACAAGTTTTGGTACTACCCCATTCATGTATCAGAAAATTCATGATGGAAGGCAGAACAAATACCTGGATATATTTATGCCAAATGGAAATAGCCCAATTGCTTATATTCTACCAGATATAGCCTATAACACTTCGCCTATACAATGTCGAATATCAAATCTAAAGCAATTCTGGAAGCCATGTAAAATCTAATGGGATGAAGATGGTCATAGGATAGCTCTGTTTGTCCATCGCACAGAAGCAAGTTTAGAATCAGTAAAAACTATCTCAAAAAATGTAATTCGCTATCAAGATTTTAGCCTAGTTTGTTGTGAAATCAGCCCAACTCATCTCTATATATAGACAAGCCACATGTCTAATGCTACCTTCCAACTTCAAAACCTAACTATAAGATCAAGATAACTGAAGCAGATGTAAAGCATGATAACACCTAAAACAAAGTGTTGCATACTATCAAAAAGTAAAAAAGCAGCACTGCTTATAAAATGGCTTTAACATGCATTTAGACTTCACTCCAAGTAAGCCAAAACATTTTAGAGATAATCCAGCAGTCAAAAATTAAGCACAAGAATAATATAACGTATATGTTATCACACAGAAAGTATAAATAAATAGCTTCCTTACATGAAAATCACAAGAAAGAAGCACAAATACATAGATAAGTGAAGCAAGTCTCGGACGAGCTCCAAGTAGAAGGTATATACAGCCTTCTTCTCCCATTGTCCTTCCATAAGCATGTCACTTACATAGAAAACATATTTTACAAAGGTAGTCACTGTTGTCGTGGCCAATATCATATACCTACAACCCAAAAAAGAAAATATGAATCCGGGGGAAAAAACAGACAACTAGAAAATATGATGATGAACACATATCACTTGAAAGAAACAAGGGGATAGGGTAAAGATGATCAAATATTTATGTAAATTGGAGCAAAACAAGAATAGCTCGATTTTTAACAAGCCTTTTTTCTTCCAGCAACCTGACTAATTCAATTTGTAGTGGACTTTTCCACTGTCAACTTCATTTATCATTTAACTTCCAACATAAATGACATATTTAAAGTATGACTTCAAGCCATGAGCTCATTGCATCCAATCCATTTAATAATCTAAAACACAAAATCATTTTGAATGATGAACCATAACGCATGACAAGCACTAATGAATTTAGAAAAATTTAACTGATAATCACTAAAAAGAAGAAAAGTTCTTAAATTAAAAACTTACTCAAAACCAAAGAAGATAGAAACTGAAGCTTGTCGAGTTTGGATCAGAAATTTGATAGAACTGTATAAAAACAGAGAATCGAGAAGAAGAAGAAAACCCAGAAAAGAAACTATTCGAACATGAGCTAACTTCGGAACGGAAGGAGTTGTTTCAATGTACTCGACTCTCTTCTGTGCCAACCAGTGCAAAGCCTTGATTAACAATAAAGCCGTAACCATTGCAAGAAATGAAACTGAGAATTCCTGCCGAAAGATGGTGGTTGCGAAAAGGATCTCCATGACCTCTCTCCATGACTGCTCGTTCAACCTCTCAACCTCAGCTTCACGAAGAGACCCAAGGAATACTCGTTTGGTTAATTGCCACAAGACACACATAACTGCAAGGCCCATGTTGAGAAGCAACACCAAGCTGATCTTAGAGGTTGATAAATAAACCATAGCAGGATAAAACTGGCCTCTGCTGTTGAATGCATGATATATAACTGCTAGAGTCGATACAAAACTGAGACCGGCATATGTTCGCAGCCTCATCATTTTGCTCTACCTGATCACCACACAACAATATTCAATAAAGGAAAATCAATAAACTATATCTAATTGAGTATTCTTACTCTTTTATAGAGTTTAATTCTTATGAAATAAGCATAAGCACCGAGAACAAATGAAATTATAAAAAGAAAAGCAAAATTACCATAAAAATTATATACTCTAACCAGTGGAACTCTACTAATTCTATCACAGTATCAGTCTCAATGAATAATCCATTTTCTAATCAAAACAAAAGTACAAAACAGAAAGGGGGAAAAGTCAACTATTTTCCATGAAAATTCCTTCCTTCAGAAATCAAACAAATCCAATCTAGGAACTTTCAAAATCAATAATTTCTATTTAATAAGAGATAAAAAGAAAGCAAAACATCTAATTTGTGATAAAAATAAAAATGAAAGGTATACACGCACTGAGATCAAGTGAAGCTGTTACAAAAAAAAAAGAGTAAAACTATCATAAAAAAAAGTATATACTCTGATCCAAATAATTAGAACTTCACTCATTCAGACATAACATCATGCTGAAAAAATAATTCCTATTTCAATCACAAAACAAAGGAAAGGAAATTCAAATTATTTCCCCCGAAACTCCTTTCTCTCCAACCATTCCAAACAATCAAATAGGAACTTCCGAAACCGATACTTTTTATTTAATAACAGGCATACGAAGAAAAATAAGAAAAAGAAGAAGAATCAGTACCGAGTCGAGAGAAACTAGGCGATGGAAAAGGAAAACAACAATGAGAAAAGAAGAGAAACCCGATTCGGTCCTCTTTCTCGAGGAGGAGATATTTAACTATGAATTAGTAATCAATTTTATCAGAGCTTCAACCAAATTTGAGACTTTTCTGTTTGTTTAACGGATTTATCCCATCTTTTGTAACTTTTTGTATTTTTCATTCATTTTTTAGCTCATTCCTTTGACGCAATGCTTGTGATCTTAACCAATCAGGATAACCCACGTAGACCGTGCTGGGCCGTTCCTTGTCCATATGGTATCAAAATTTAAAGTTGAGACTTGAGTCAACACCTTCCTCAGTTATTTATCTACTGTTAATTATTTATAAACTGTGGTAATTTTTTAATTTAATAATTAAGGTAAAAAAACTAAGCTTTTCTTTTTATTACCGAAAAATAGTTTTTAATTATTTTTAAAATTCATCTATTTTTAAATTCAATCACAATTTTTAAAAATACTTTTAATTTTAATATTTTTATTAAAATGATAATAAATATATCTTAACATTTATATATATTTAACTTAAATTAAAAATATGATTTAACTCGTATTATTTTCTCTGTAGGAGTTACTTTTTTTGGTCGATTATCACAAGGTTTTACCTTTCAGGCATTGGTTGTCGCTTTTCATGGCTCTCCCTGTCATTTTTTCTTTTTCTCAAAGTTTTCAGTCATACTATCAGTTCATTGGTTCAACCGTCAGTCTGACCGATCGAAAGAATCGGATGACGTCATAATTATTTAAAAAATTAAATAAAAATACCAAAAATATTTAATAAAAAATAATTTTTTATATCAAAATTCATATTCAAAGCAAGTCATAACATATATAAGTTAAAAACCATAAAATCAAGTGAAACAAAATGATTTAAATTAACTACAACATAATATTTAAGGTAAAACATATTAAATAATAAATATAATTATATAATTATAATTAAAAAATAATTTGGGGCTAAAAAAATCATAACAAAATGATATTGTTTGGTTTAATTTTTTTTAAAAAACAATCTCACATGGCTAAGAAACATAAAAGATCATCCCAACTAACTTCTATAAATAATAGAGGTAATTTGGCATTTAAAATCATGGAGTCTTTTGGTGATCATTGAGTGAACTATTCTTTCACTTCAATCAAGCTCGAATTTTATGCTTCAATCGAGCTTCTAAATTTTTTTGAGTTCAAGCATTTTTGAGTTTAATTTTCAATATTATATTTTGAGTTCGAGTTAAACTTTATAATTTTTAGCTCGTGAGTTTGAGTCGAGTTGAGCTTACTTTTAAATTTTTCAAGTTCGAGTCGAGCTCAGCAATACTCGAGTTCGACTTGGCTCGTTTAACAAATGACGTTGTTTGGTTTAATTTAAAAAAACAAAAATCAAAATTGGCCCGATTTTTTTCGGTTTTCAGCCGGTCCGGTTTGAACGGTTCAGCGGTTTCGGTCAATTCACTAGTAGCGGTTCAATCGGTTTAGATTGAACCGGACTAGGCAACGGTTCCCGATTGAACCGGTTGAACCGACCGGTCATGTCCGGTTTTTAAAACAATGCTTTTTCTTTTACAGTTAATTATTATATAATTTTACTAGTTTTTAATTATATTTTGATATTTTTATAATATTTTTTCTCCTGATTTTTTTCTAGTAAAATGTATCATGGCTATTGGTGCTTTTAGACTTCCAGAGCATTTTTTTATTGGTCTTATTCTAGGTTTTTTGCCTCTATGGTTGGTGTTCGGGGACGTTTGAGTGATTCGTTTTTTAAAGGATATCATTGCTACCAGTGTTTTTAGACTCCCGATGCAGGTTTCTTCCACTGGTCTTCTTCTTGATATGTGATTCTTTGAGATTTCATGTTTGCTTGCTTTTTCAATGCCTAGTTCATTTGTTCGCTTGCATATGATATTATTTTGGTTCTTAGATATATATGTCAGACAAGATTGTGGTTAAATGATGATTCATTTTTTATTCGTTCACTTCGGATGTTCTTCAAGTTTTCCTCTTCTATTGGATGATGCTTTGGGACATTGAAGTGATCCATCTCTATATATTGTTGCCACAATTATCCATACTCTTACTCGCCAGACTGTTATTGGTCGATCACTGTTTTATTTTGCTTGTGATAGTTAATTAAATATAAAAAAACAAAATTCATCTAATTAAAATTTATCGACCATTCTTTTAATTAATATTAACCACTAAATCTAATATGTTAAAAACATATATTAAAAATATTGTAAAATTAGAGTTATTTTACACATTTTAATAATTTTTGTATGATTAATATTCTCACATTCTAATGGTTGAATTATCAAAATGTATAAATTAAATTAATTTTTTATTGTTATAAATGGATTTTCTTTTAATTATAAAATATTAATCTCAAAAAAATTAAAATGTGGAAAAAAATTAATGTTAACGTTAGATCATTAACGGAGAGTAGTATAATTATATTTAAAAGTTAAAGTTAATTTTAAAATTAACAAAATTAAAACGTTAGTAATATAAACGAATCCAAATTTAAAGGTGAATGGCATTTAAAATAGTTTATCCTTAATTTTACGCTAATATAAGCGCATATTTCTTCTAAATGTTTTATTAATTTTAAATCATATGTATGGAAATTATTTATTTGGGTAGCTTGAACCATCTTTTCTATGCACGAGTAAAAAGCGTGTTTATTTATTTGGGTAAATTCCATTTTGGTAACTGAATTTTATTATCTATCCTATTTCACTTATTGTATTTTTAATCTCTTTTAATTTACTCATTGAACTTTATAGATTGAATTTTTTTTGTTAATCCGCCATTAAATAGTTAACAACGTTATGACATGAACATGTTTTAATCAAAATAACGTGTATTTTACCCTATTTATTTTCATTTGTGATAATATGATAATTAGACTTTTTTATTATAATTGTATTTTCAAGTTTGATGCCGTGATAGCTTTAAAACTACTTTTTAAAGTGAATATATATATATATATATATATATATATATATATATATTAGTAAAACTTAGACAAATGTTGCATATTGTCATGAAATATTGATAGAACGAATATGTTCATTTGTATATTGTGAATAATCATATGATATTGTTATTGTTTTGAATACCATTAAGTTTGTACTCAACCCATGGCTTGTTTCTTATACTCCCTCTCTCTCTTAATTTATGTCATATATTTATTGTTTCCTTAAAAATTTAAAATTATTTTATATTTACTTTTTATATATTTTTTATTAAAAATGTCTTCGCCCCTTAAAATTATATAAGTTCATGTCCACCCCTAAAATTTTAAAAATTCTAATTCACCCCTTTAACATAAAATCTTACGTCCGTCCATGTCTATACTAATTATGTACATAATCTTACGAGATATATTTAATTAATAGAAATAATAAAATCATTCATAAAAAGTTATTGATAGATTGACTAATTTTTTTTATATGTGTAAAAGAATGTGACATATAAGGGTAAAAAAATATATAAATGTTGTTTGTTTATTTTTCTAATAGTATATTTTGAATGGGTCAATTTTTAAAGAGACATATTTAGTGGGACGAAAGAAGTATATTATTATTGTTTGAGTGGTTATGATCTAACTTGTGAATATCATCAAATTTATTGACTTTAATTATTAAAGAGAATGTTATTATCTCTAAAAATTCTAAATTCGAATTACTACGTCTGTAAAATATATGTACATTATCAATTTTTAAAAAAAATTATGAACAAATATTACCTTAAAATCACTGTTAGATTATTAAAAAAATTGTGAACGCCATTTGAAAAGTCTTCCCTTTTACAAGTGTGAATATCTTGAGGTTACATCAACTCAGCTTCTCAAATAAAAAAATTTCGACTTATGTTTATTAGATCCTTAATGACTCGTTTCATTTACGGAGCTAGGAATTTCATAATACAATGTCATAATTTTAAATTATTATATTTAAATAAAATCATATAATTAATGCATAACATTAAAATTCGATAAACTAATGTAAAATATAGCTAAACTAACATAAGACTATTACAAAGCTATTAAAATAATAATCAAAATAGAATATACATACATATTAGGGATGTTTATTTTTTTTTGTATCGAATTTATCGGTCGAACTGAATTAGTTCGATTAAAATGACTGGCCACTAAATCAGTTCGATCGTGGAACAATTATTTTTTAATATTTAACGGTTAATTTGATTTGAAATCAGTTAATTAACTGAATTAATCGAATTGTATATGATATATACTAAATATATATTTTAAACTCAAATATGTTAAGAATTAAGATCTAATTATTTTTTAATTGCACTAGATCCATTAAATTATCAAGATCTAATTAAATTTCAACCCAAAAAAAAAAAATCTCTATATTAAATTTAAATTAACCTAAATAAAAAATATATTAAAAATTTTGATTAATTCGGTCATTGATTGAATTATTCAAACTTTATTCAATTCGATTAATGATTAAAGAAAAAATCATTTAGTTCGATTAATAAAAACTTGATTCTTTCGGTGATTGAATTAATCGAATGAACACCCTTAATATATGAATTTGTACTACAAACTAGGCAGCGTTGTACGGTCAATTGGTAACACTTTTGAGAACTAAAATTATTTCGCCAAACTAATGCTCACAGTTAAAACCATCCAAAATTCAGTCAACCATAAAGCAAAAATACATTTTGAATCTTCCAGGTTGTTCCAGGTTCACGGCACCAAGATCTCGAATAAAAATAGCATAAAAATATTGACGCTAACACATCACTACTGAACAAAAAACAGAGCAAACAAGCAGAACAGTAAGGTCTGGTCCACAAAATAATGCAAACATGAAATAGAGAACCATCCAACAAAAGCTAATAGCATAACAAAAACATAGATGTCCTATTCATAAATAGAAATCTAAGCAAACTTATCTGCCCTGTTCCATCCACCCTTCCCCTTTCGATCCAGGTTATAGTTGGAGAGGCCCTTTACTTGGCCATCATCACTTTGACAAACTCCTCGTAGTTGATCTGTCCGTCACCATCAACATCTGCTTCACGGATCATCTCATCAACTTCCTCGTCCGTAAGCTTCTCACCAAGGTTGGTCATGACATGACGAAGCTCGGCAGCAGATATGAAACCATTCTGATCCTTGTCAAACACCCTGAATGCCTCTTTAAGCTCCTCCTCTGAGTCAGTATCTTTCATCTTCCTAGCCATCAGGTTAAGGAATTCAGGAAAATCAATGGTCCCGTTTCCATCTGCGTCAACTTCATTGATCATATCTTGGAGTTCCGCCTCAGTGGGGTTCTGCCCAAGTGATCGCATCACTGTCCCCAGCTCCTTGGTAGTAATGCAACCTGCAGCAATGATTGAAATAAATAAATACAACAAAATCGGACTATAATATTGGTTATCAAACAATCAACATGACTAAATACATTCAACAAAAATCAGCAAAGCATTATTGTAATACCTAAAAGAGAGAGAGTAAAGTCACAGGAGTCAATTTTAAAAGTTAGTTTATGAAATTCAAGCTTTCCTAATGCCATAAAAGTTCTCTCAAGATACATAGATAAACATACAAGAACTGGGGAGGATATTAAACATATCTCCTATGTGCTAAAAATAAAGAAAAGATGTATTCTGTGATCTGTCTAACTTGTGCTACAACAATCCAATACATAACAAGTTTGCTCATGGATCAGCTAATAAATACAGAACCTGTAGTTGCAGAATAATTTGTTGTTTGGGGTTACATATCACAAAATTAACTGATTGAGTCATCCATAGAAGGTCTTGAATTCTCATGACATGCCAGAGCCCATTCACGTTGTGATCCTAGAATCATAACTATCAAGCATATTTGGTACAAACATACAAGCTAATTTTAAGGATGAAACAACGTGTCAATGCTTTACCAGCAACAAGAAAGTAAACTAATAATGATCCTATATATCATTAAAAGTTGAAAAATGCAGGATCAAACAAAGAGGAACGCATCTAAAATCAAAGTGAAGGAAGCTTCACTGATCAGATTGAAAACTTAAACAAAGGAAATAAAATATTTAATTAAATAACAAAAAAATCAAATCAGCAAATCTCGAACATAAATTACGCAACAACACATCGCATAAAAAGACGTTCCATCCTGGATATGTTTGCATCGATAATATCTACCACTAACAAGTTGCAATAAATTCAATCAGAAGACCGAGAAAGGTCAACATAATGAAAATGAAAAAGAAACATAAAAATCAAGAGCCACAAATCAACATCAAGAAATGAAATAACAATAGACGATTAAGATCGATTGAAAAATTCATAAATCATAACCCTAGATCCATCACATGACTAAAATTACAAAAGAAAACGATCGCAAAATTAATAAATAATGCAAAAAATAAGCAGCAGAATCGGAAACGACACTTAGATCTACGAATTCGAGCTGAATCGAATGAAGAAAAATATTAAAACATTAATAATATTTAGAGCAAAAATTTAAGAAGAAAATAAAAGAGAAAATGAGAGGAAGGACCATCTCCGTCCTTGTCAAATAGGCTAAAGGCCTCCTTGAATTCAGAGATCTGATCGTCAGTGAGCTGATCGGCCATTTGCTTATTCTCTTGAGCTTTTTTTTCTTTTCTTATCGAAAGAATAATGACGAGAGGGTTGAAAATATAGAAGAAGATGCCAGAGCTATATATAGGCACAACTAGGAGATGTGTTTGTTTTCACTGTTTAAAGTATTCAAAATTTTTATGTTGTGTCGTTTAAATCATAAGTAGATATTAAGTTTCGTAAATCGTTTATTTTTTAAAAGATAAAAGTTCTTCTAACGTCTGCGTAGTACAGACGTGACTTTATGTCTGTAGACGTCTTCTAATATCTTTAAAGAATTATTTTTGTTATTATTTTTTTAAAAATTATAAAATGTCATTAAATTTAATGAATTATTACAAAATAGTCACTATAATATTATAATAAATTATAAAAGTTCGATAATATAATAATTATTTTATAGTATTTAAATAAATTTAATAATAATTTTATAATCTTTTAATAAATTTAATAAGTATTTTATAATTTTTTAAACTTTATTTACGAAAATGATCATTTATATATAACTCAAAGATATTTAATATATTTTATTTGAAAAAATATATTAAACTTAGTAAAAAATATTATACAAATAAACTTAGTAAACTTTTTTTTATATAAAAACTTAAAAAATTACAGGGACATACAATTATTAGCATTAAAAGACAAAATAAATGTTTTAATAAAAAATATTCACACTATTAAAAAATCTGATTCTTATCATTTAATTCTGATAAAGTACGAAAGTCCCTTTATATAGAATAAATAAATAAAAAACAAATACTATATTTTTTTCTAAATAGAAAAATACTAATTGATGTATATTATATAGAGTATATATTATATATATTTGTTGATGTTACTAAAATCGAATTGTACCACTCAAATAAATTAAGATGATTTAAATGATATTATAAAATCGAGTATTGATATATTTGTGAATCGATAATAATTGAGAATTAAAATATAATTTTTTTAACAATTACTTGAACCGAAACAAACAGATTGAATTAAAATCAAATTGATTTCATTATCGATTGCTTTAATAATAATTTTTAAAATGATATATAATATTAAAACCAAAATCTAATAGTCCGTAGATGTAATAATTTATAAAAATAAAATTCGTATAATATTTATTTAATATATTTTTTCAAAAAAAGTATATTAAATATCGTTGAGTTATATACAAATGATCATTTTCGTCAATAAAGTTTAAAAAATTATAAAATACTTATTAAATTTATTAAAAGATCAATTTATTTATTTTTCATTTTATTTTAGCAGTATACATACGTTAAAAAACAAACAGTCTTCTTCTTGCAGACTGTAGACTTTTGGTCCACCTCTTCTGCTGTAGATACCTGCAGATGTGGTCTGCAGACTGCAGACCTTTTACCTCTGCAAAAATAAACACCACCTAAGGCATCAGATTTCCTATCCGGTGCAAGCATTTTGCTAGCCTTTTTTCTAAATTAAAAAAAATATTATTAGCCAATTATATTTTTCTTTTGGATAAACTACATTAAATACTATTAAACTTTAGAATTTGATTCAATTTTATCACTAAACTTTTAATTATTTTAATTATACCAATAAACTTGATTTTAACTTCAATTATATCATTGAATCGTTAATTCGATAACATCAAGATGACTTGAATGATGGTTATTAATATGGACTTGAACCAACATGACGCCCTTTTTTGTGTAGTTATTTTGATGTCTAAAATGATGTTATTTTATTAAAATAAAATTGAAGAGAAATATAATTTTTTATTAGTTTTAGGTTATCACAAGATAATATATAATTATAATTGTTCTAATCGTTTGACAATGAATGCACATATTTTGCTGATACAATTCCTCGAACTCGAAATATTTAGAAAGAATAGGATTTTTTTTATCACTAAGGTTACTCAATAGTTTCATTGAGGGAAAATATCAAAATGCATTTAGAGAGCTTCAAATTAAAGATCTTTAGAAGGAATGTCTATCGCCTAACAATTGGCCAACTTATGATCTTGATATGCTTCTAACAAAATAATATATATGTTAAATTACAATTGAGATTAATTTTATTCATTTAATGATATTTATAATACAATTTCATAAATAATATAAAATATATTATTAAACAAATAAAAATGATTTTATTTTATTTTAACATGTATTACTTCTATTACAATTATAATATGATCACAAGTTAACATAGTGGCAAGATATTAGACTTTGCTTCCCAACGTTCTTGGTTTAAATATTCTAAAATGGGTTTGACATTTATCCTCAAATTTCCTCCAGCAAAATGGTATCATTTTAGGATTTTTAGATATCGAAATAATTGTAGCAAAACTATTTGTACAATTAAAGTTGAAATCAAAATTCAGTGTTATTATTGTAATAATTGAATACTCAATGATGAAATCTATGCAAACCCTAAAGTCTAATAGTATTCAGTGTTGTTTACCCTTTTCGTTTAAAAAACGCCAGCGCAAGTTTTTGAATACATTTATCGCTTCCTCTCCCGTTGAAGAGTTTATTATTTGACATTTTTAAAGGAGGTTATGCCTTCCTATGAACAAAATATTAGACCCTTATTTACATTGTTTTAAAAACCGGATCGGACCAACCGGTTCAATCGGAAACCGTTGCCTAGTCCGGTTCAATCTAAACCGGTTGAACCGCTACTAGTGAATCGATCAGAACCGCTGAACCGTTCGAACCGGACTGGCTGAAAACCGAAAAATTTTGTTTTTTTAAAAAAAAATTAAACCAAACGTCGTTTGTTAAACGAGCCAAGTCAAACTCGAGTATTGTTGAACTCGGCTCGAACTTGAAAACTTTAAAAGTAAGCTCAACTCCACTCAAACTCACAAGTTAAAAATTATCAAGTTCAACTCAAACTCGAAATATAATATTGGAACTTGAACTCAAAAAGGCTTGAACTAAAAAAAAATTTAGAAGCTCAATTGAAGCCTAAAATTCGAGTTTGATTGAAGTGAAAGAATAGTTCACTCAATGCTCACCAAAAGGCTTCATGATTTTGAATGCCAAATTACATCTATTATTTATAGAAGTTAGTTGTGATGCTCTTCTATGTTTCTTAGCAATGTGGGATTGTTTTGTTCTTATATTTTTACTCTTTAGACTTTTGGGATGCTCTTCTATGTTTCTTAGCTATGTGGGATTGTTTTTTTAAAAAAAAAATTAAACCAAACAATATCATTTTGTTATGATTTTTTTAGCCCCAAATTTATTTTTTAATTATAGTTATATAATTATATTTATTATTTAATATGTTTTACCTTAAATATTATGTTGTAGTTAATTTGAATCATTTTGTTTCACTTGACTTTTGGGATGCTCTTCTATGTTTCTTAGCTATGTGGGATTGTTTTTTTAAAAAAAATTAAACCAAATAATATCATTTTGTTATGATTTTTTAGCCCCAAATTTATTTTTTAATTATAGTTATATAATTATATTTATTATTTAATATGTTTTACCTTAAATATTATGTTGTAGTTAATTTGAATCATTTTGTTTCACTTGATTTTATGGTTTTTAATTTATATATGTTATGACTTGCTTTGAATATGACTTGTGATATAAAAAATTATTTTTTATTAAATATTTTTGGTTTTTTTTATTTAATTTTTTAAATAATTATGACTTCGTCCGGTTCTTTCGACCGGTCGGACCAGTTCGATCGGTTGAACCAGTGAACCGGTAGCATGGCCGGTTCGCTAACCGGTCCGGTTCTGAAAATCATGCTTATTTAAGTATTTAACCATAAAAATATGAGTATAGATTTTAAAATTATAATAATTAAATATAATTTAATTATTTAAAGCATATCGTTTTAAGATATTAAAACTTTAACTCGAATCCAATTTAATTTAAATCCTATAATATTACTTTTATTAATGAAAAATTATTTTCATAATTAAAAAATAAGCTTAAAAATAAAATATTTTTTTGACAAACAAATAAAATCATTATAACTTACTTAAATAAGTCATTGAAGCACAAATCAAATGATTTTACTGGTTAAATGAATAGTTGTTATCCTTAAAGGTTTTTAGTCCAAACACCAACGGCTGTATGATATTTGAACATTTATTGTCATATGATTGAGAGTCTTTAAAACAAATACTATCACATATAATCACCTTAGAGTAATTAAAAAAATCCCTTGAAAGAAAATCATTATAGCTTCTTTGACTTTGTATTAAAGAGCAGAGGTTTGTATCATTTGTGCTAGGGTTTCCTCTACTTTCTTGGTAGTCGCACTACAGCAAAATGGGTTTTTAGCGGCACTTTTAGCGGCGTTTTTTGAACAAACGTCGGTAAATACTTGTGTTTTAGTGGCGTTTGTATATAAACGCCGCTACCTACTGTACTTTAGTGGCGTTTTCGTATAAACGCCGCTAAATAATGTACAATAGTGGCGTTTTAAGCACAAACGCCGCTAAATGCTCGTACTTTAGTGGCGTTTCTATATAAACGCCGCTAAATAATGTACTATAGTGACGTTTTAAGCACAAACGCCGCTAAATGCTCGTACTTTAGTGGCGTTTTTGTACAAACGCCGCCAAAGACTCGTACTTTAGCGACGTTTTTATACAAACGCCGCCAAAGACCTGTACTTTAGTGGCGTTTTTATACAAACGCCGCCAAAGACCCGTACTTTAGTGGCGTTTTTATGCAAACGCCGCCAAAGACCCGTACTTTAGTGGCGTTTCTGCGGCTAAACCCCCCAAAACACGTACGCACTTGAATCCCATTAATTTTTTTAAAGAAACCCTAAAACCTTGTTATGTTTACCCTTCTAACTTTCTGCCACTTACATCTCTCTCACTCTTATTCTTTTTATCCTTAATAGAAAATGAACCAGAGGCCAAAATCCTTTCAGTTACAACCGAAAATGTTAAGAAGAAGATAATATATTTTGTTTTAATTTAAAATGTCACCGTGTGCAAGTTAAAATATTATGATTTTAATAAGATTTTCGGTTGTAACCTATTTATGTCGTTTTTTAATTTTATAATAACAAGTTGTATTTGAGAATATCTTGATATATCTACATATTAGTATAATAACTTTTACTTGAATTTGTACCTATATTTCTAATTTCAAGTTTAAATTTGTATTAATGTTTTATATTATAACAACTATTTTTTTAAATTTTTTTATAACAACACTTTTAAATCGTATGTAATAATTAATTTTTTTATGTTAATACTTCTGAATCAAGTGATTATTTTGAATTTAAAATTTATGTAATATAATTCCTTATATATAAAAATATTATATATTGAATATTTTTAAATAGTTAACTATTTTTATAACAATAACAATATATACATATACATATATTATAAATTATATAGAGTATAAATAATTAAAAAGTGTATTATTATTAATTTTGAGATAATTATAATTTTAAATTAATTAATTACTGAAGAAAAGCCCAACAAAGCGGGTATTAACCTATGTTATAAGAAACAGAAACTAGGGTTTTATTGATTCAGCAACTTGGGATTGAGAGCTGCCGCATCCAGCAAGCAAGAGTAGCAACCACAGGTGACTCCCAACTCACTTCTTCTCTCTCTTTCATTCTCTTTTTTAGTTTCTTATCGATAGAAAATGTGTGAAATGAAAGATAAATAAACTATCTTCTCATTTTTTCTTGAATTTGTATCACATTGTAAATTCTTTGATTGAGTTGTAGGTAATCAACACTTCCTGTTGTCTCTCTCTCTCTCTCTCTCTCCCTCTCTCCCTCTCTCTTTTTAATATAGAGTATAGATCTATAAGAAGAACATTGGTTTGTTTATACATTTATATTTATTTTTGGTTATGTTTTTATTTTGGGGTGAAGGAGAGGAAGAATGTCTCACAGGAAATTTGAGCACCCAAGGCATGGTTCCCTTGGATTCCTTCCAAGGAAGCGAGCTTCTCGCCAGAGAGGAAAAGGTATTCGCTTTCATTTTTTTTTGTTTATCTGACAATAATAGTATGATGATGATGTAGCTGTAGAAATTATAGTTTTGAAACTGATATGTACCTATTGTGTTCTTATCTGATGTTGTTGTTTTCTTCTGGTGCAGTGAAGGCATTCCCAAAGGATGACCCCAGCAAACCTTGCAAGCTCACTGCCTTTTTGGGGTACAAGGCTGGTATGACTCACATTGTCAGAGAGGTCGAAAAACCTGGATCTAGTAAGTTTGTTTTCATCAAGTAACTCCACAATTATTTTTATTGTTTGCTTGAAATGCAGTTTTCTTTTACCTGGAAGTGCATTGGGATTCTTTGATTGAATTACATTTATATAATGGTCTATTCATCTTTCAATTTTATCGGAATTTTAGTTGATTTTGTATCTTTTATTTCCGTATAGAGCTCCACAAGAAGGAGACATGTGAGGCTGTTACTATCATTGAAACCCCTCCTATGGTGATTGTTGGGGTTGTTGGATATGTAAAGACACCACGGGGCCTCCGATCCTTGAACACCGTCTGGGCTCAGCATCTGAGCGAGGAAGTCAAACGTCGGTTCTACAAACACTGGTGCAAGTCCAAGAAGAAGGCTTTTGTCAAGTACTCAAAGCAATATGAAAGTGAAGATGGGAAGAAGAGCATCCAGGCTCAGTTGGAAAAGATGAAGAAATATGCAACTGTTATTAGGGTCTTGGCCCACACTCAGGTTATAACAATTTCCGACTTAATATTGTTTTCTTATATCTGCACTTTTCAATTGTTCATTTCTTGTTCATGGTTTTCATATTGCAATTCTTTATTGAACATGTTTCAAGGTGGACAATTTTCTGACCAAGTACATTGCAGATTAGGAAAATGAAGGGATTGAAGCAGAAGAAGGCACACCTAATGGAGATCCAAGTCAATGGTGGAACTATTGCCGACAAGGTTGATTTTGCCTACAAGTTCTTTGAGAAGCAAGTCCCCATTGATGTTGTTTTCCAGAAGGATGAAATGATTGATATCATTGGTGTCACAAAGGGTAAAGGTTACGAAGGCGTTGTCACTCGTTGGGGTGTCACACGTCTTCCCCGCAAGACCCACAGAGGTCTGCGTAAGGTTGCTTGTATTGGTGCCTGGCATCCTGCTAGAGTCTCCTTTACAGTTGCCAGGGCAGGTCAGAATGGATACCACCATCGTACGGAGATGAACAAGAAGGTCTACAGGGTTGAAATCATCTCTTTCGCAGCCCCAATGCCAAACTCAATGGCATTACTTCAAAACCGGCCAATACATGAGAATCCAACCCCAACGACGACGATGTCTCTTCCAAAGACGACCTCCCTCTCCTTGAATCCGCCGCTGAAGGTATCCAGGAGCTCGAGAAGAAATTCGCAGCCTTCATGCGCAATGATGTGTACGATTCAATGGGATGTGGAAAGCTGCCATTGAAAGAGAAACTCCTGCTGGGCATCGCCCTCGTCACGCTTCTCCCTATACGTCTCGTTTTGGTAATGACTATTTTGGTCGTGTATTACTTGATTTGTAGAATTTTTACGCTATTCTCGACCCCGAATCTGGAGGATGAGCAGGAAGATTTTGCACATTTGGCTGGGTGTAGGCGAGCCGTGATAGTCCAGTCGGGTCGGTTTCTTTCTAGGTTGCTGCTTTTTACGGTAGGATTTTATTGGATTAATGAAACTCATAAGGATTCAGCAAATACCCAAGAAAGTTCAAAAACCGAGGTAGAATTTTACTTCTTCAGCATTTTTAGTATTCCAATTTGGCATCTTTTAAGATGATTCATATGCATTTAGTTATGATAACTGACAGACTTTAGTTAAACACAAGAAGTAATTGCTTGATCAACATTTTCCTGAATTTCTATTTCTGTGTATGATTTTTCTACAGAGTACTAAACAATCAGAACAGCAAGAAAGGCCTGGTTTTTTCCACTCTTCTCATTTTAGTAGTTGATTATGGTATAAAATGTAAGCTTTTGATGTTTTAACTGACATATCTCTTGTTTGGTTTTTTCCTTTGAAATGCTTGGATTTTATTGCTGAAGAGATCAGTGAGTAAACTTCCCTTAATTGGTCTTATCGGGTGAGAGTTAATTTTATCCTCGTAAATTTCTCCCGTGATTTGGTGCAAAACAGTCTGCAGTTTGGTTTCCATAATTGATTTTTTTGCCTTTTAAAGCTTGATATAGTTATGGGACTTATGTCAATAGTTTTCTTTTATGTCACTCATTCTCCTAATCTACAAGCTTCACATCTTATGTTGTAACAATTTCTAGCAAGCGAACCATTTACATTAGAATAAGAATCTTCAGTTTTGGAAAGAGTATTGTGTGCATCAATTAGTTCTTGGTAGTTATATGTTTCTTTTGTTTTGTATCTTTCCTACCAGTTCTATATTTCCTGTGTAGTAGAAATAAATTGGTTTTGAACTGGCGTGATGAATGATATTTGGCTTGTTTCTTACAGCAAATGTCTTGGTTGTGTCTATGTTCAGCGCGAGTCAAAATCATCAGACTTTAAAGGTGTTGCAGGTGAGTCAAAATAAATTGGTTTTGAACTGTTACTACTACTATTTTAAAGCTTTTTCAGAGTTTTAGATTTATCATTCAAAATCATCAGGCTTTTTCAGGTTACTGCTAACAGCTGGGAAAGTGGCCTCTTTATCTTATTTCTTGTTGTATTTGCAATAATTGCTGATGGTTATGATCAATATTGTTTATAATCAACATGTTTGTCTTTCATGTACTATATTAATGTATCTTGTTTCCCTGCATTTTGTGATTTTAATCATTCCCTGCATTTTGTGATTTTAATCATTAATTATTTTAGAAGCTTTTTTCTTTATGAAGTTTTGGTCTATTAGCTATTGTCTTTTTTCTTTTAATTGTTTGAATTATCTATTGTTTTGCTATCAGCTTCTTGCCAACCATACTCTGTTCATAGTTCTGAATTTTAGGTGTTATTCTTGAAATGCAATAGAACTATCACGAGCATTTCTATGCCAAATCAGAAGCATCACACCTGTGTCACAAACATTTTTTGCTTAGGAATGTTTGAAGCATTGTACCCATTAAGGGTTGACAGTGTTATGTATGTTAGTTAAATCTATATTTCTCCTCCTTTTTCCATATGCCATCTGATTATGGGGGTCTTCCAGAATGCATTGGCTAGCTTGCATATGTGGATATATGCCATGTATTATAGTTATTTAGAAAGAAGATAATGTTTAACATTTTTTCTCATTAGCTTGAACTTATGTTTGAAGGCAAGAAATTTGGAGGTAATATTGTTTAGAATCATGCTTTTTCTTCTAGTTTATCTTCTTGTAATATATTGTATCTGAATCCATTGTTTTCATTGTTGTTTGAATTGAAGGTACATTTCTGATGAAGAGAATCAATTGAAGTTGCATGCCAAAAGGAAAATTGCCACTAGAAGATTGTTTTTTATTCTAGTGAACAATGTTTTTATTCTATTGAAAGAGAAAGAACCTAGAATAAATTGTAGTGAACAATCTTGAACTATGTTACATTTTAATTTAATTTTATAAAATTTGATTTATTTTTGCATATAATTTGTGTCGTAATTAAATTTTAAGTTTATTATTATTAGATAATGATATAGAATATTAAATATCAATTAATCTTAGCTAAAGAATGGTAATTATAGATCTGACTTTTTGCGGCGTTTGTGTCCAAAAACGTCGCTATAGATCTGACCTTTTGCGGCGTTTGTGTCCAAAAACGCCGCTATAGATCTGACCTTTTGCGGCGTTTGTGTCCAAAAACGCCGCTATAGATCCGTACTTTTGCAGCGTTTGTATATAAAAACGCCGCTAAATATCTAACCTTTTGCGGCGTTTGTGTCCAAAAACGCCACTATAGATCTGTCCTTTTGCAGCATTTGTATCCAAAAACGCCGCTAAATATCTAACCTTTTGCGACGTTTGTTACAAAAACGCCGCTATAGATCTTGACCTTTTGCGGCATTTGTATCCAAAAACGCCGCTAAATATCTAACCTTTTGCGACGTTTGTTACAAAAACGCCGCTATAGATCTCGACCTTTTGCGGCATTTGTTCCATAAACGCCGCTAGAGATCTTGACCTTTTGCGGCGTTTGTTCTAAAAACGCCGCTGTATATATCGACCTTTTGCGACGTTTGTTCCAAAAACGCCGCTATAGATCTTGAACTATAGCGACGTTTTTGGTTCTCAAACGCCGCTAACTTTTGCGGCGCTGTTTTTTGCGGCGCTTCTTGCGGCGTTTTTCCAATCGCCGCAAGCGCTTTTAGCGGCGTTTAAAAACGCCGCTATAGGACTAAAAAAACGCCGCTAAAACTCTATTTTCCTGTAGTGTCGTCTCTCTGTTGTGTGACAGATTCTGAATTTTCTTGGTTTCTAGTTTTTACTAGTTTGGTTTTGATGGTTGGTTGTGCGCTCGGGTGCTAGTAAATTATGGGCGACATAGAGAATAATTTGGGGGGTTTGTATATTAGGGAAAAAGAGGATGAGATTTAGTTCTGATTCCATCCGAAACATCTTCATAGATTTCTTTTGAGCATTATTTTGTGGGGCGATTCCTTTCAGCCAGCAGGATAAAATTTCAAGCCATGAGGGTGACTTTGGCGAATGTATAGTGCCCAATTGGATGCATCACTATTACATACCTTGGAGAGAACAGTTTTTATTTTGTTTATTTCACGATGTGGAAGTGGAATGCATTACGGATTTTAGCGTTCACCTTCTAATTTTGCATCGTTTGAACCCGGAGGAGGACCTGATGACGGTTGATCTTAACTGGATTAATTTCTAGATCATTATTAAAGATCTTCCAACAGGATACATATCAGAGCCGATAGCAAAATAGTTATGCAACTTTATTGGTGTATTCCTGGAGTACGATGCTATGACTATATCGCTGGGTTATAAGGGATGTATTAGAGTACGGGTAAAGTTGAATGTTTGAAAGCCGCTCAAACGGAAGAAGAAGATCTTGTTACCTAATGGAACATTCGTTTATGCATTGTTCCAATACGAAAAACTCCATTTGTTTTGTTTCTTATGTGGCAAATTGGGTCATGGTGAAAAATTTTGCCCATTACGAGTTTTTCAGGATAAAAAGGAACTGGTTCTTTAATGGGATAAATCACTAAAAGCTTCGCAACGCCGTAGACAGGTCATGACGAGTCCGTGGCTGAGAGATGTAAACGATGAAGGAAGAACCGTGACTTCGATGCTCTCTGGTACAGTGGATCAGAAAAGTCTGACGAGGTCTTGGGTTCAAAAAAAAATTTATCCGATGGGTAATGATAATGGTTGGAAGGATGATCTTGATGAAAATATGGTGGCATATCGATGAGGAAAATCCCTTGGCTAGGGTTGAAAATGCCAAGAGACAGCGAAGTTTTCCAGTTTTTTCGACTGCAAAAGATACCAATGTGGCTGAAAATTCCAATTTGGTTGGTAAAAGGTAATTAATGGATATAAGTTAGTAATGATCAATGTTAGTAAGTTTAAAGGTTTGATTGGAGCTTAAAGTATGAGATTTAGGTGAATTGTGGGAAAAAATCGAAATGAAATAAGTGAAATTTTGGTAAGGGTATCGATAATATAAGAACAATATCGATACTATAAGGGTAAATTGAAGGAAAAATGAATGAATCGGATGAACAATATCAATATTGATTAAAGTAGTATCGATACTGATGTAGGGTATCGATACCAAAGATAAGGTATTGATACTGAAAGTAGGGATGGAATTCCAGAATGCCAAAATGGTATCAATACCAAAGTGGGTATCAGTACCATAGAAGAGAAATATCAATACTGCAGGAAGAGTACCGATACTTTTCATTTTGAAAATTGTTTAATTTAGTGTTTCATTTCGATTAGGTAAATGCTAATTTGTTAGTTGTTCTTTGAGATTCGATATTTATCTTGGACATATTGATATGTAGATTTGGATCATAAACATATCGAAAGAATCGACATAGTACGAGATACGAAAGAAAAATGATTTCGTTTAGGACTTTCGTGAGGCAAATGTGAGTGCAAGTTATTTATTTTATAGTAGATATGAGGACGACTTGCGATAAGCCAACCTCGAAGGTTTTCGATCGAAAGCAATTTATTTATTTTATGAATTATTTTATGATGCTTTATATAAAGTGTATTTTCAAAGTAATGTTTTGATTTTATTGGTATGTGAA